ATTATTATTATTATTATTATTATTATTATTATTATTATTATTTTATCTGCAGTCAGTTCCCTTTTATTTTCTTATCTTAAGATTTCAGGTTGAAGTATTTCCTTGCGAAACATCTATTACTGCACTGTTGTGCTATGTAAGGGAATCTTTTTACACGGTGTAAATGGTTTTAGCTGGGACGGGTGTGGATTAATTATTTTTCAATGCGTGTTTTTCATGCCTACAGGTGGCGCAGGAGAAGAGTTTGTCAGTGTTCTCACTGAGCTGCTCTTTGAGTTACATGTTGCTGCCACTCCTGATAAACTCAACAAGGTAAAGTCAGAGAGTATAGTTTGCGCCATCAATCAGATAATATCAGGATTTCATTGCAGTGTTACTATTATACTTGTCACAGAATATGGGGTAGACTTACAGGAATAATAAATACAGGAATCATATGTGGCTTACACTGTGTGTAACTATATTATACTGTATGCGGTGCTTCAGATACAGATAAAAAAACTATTGTTTTCCTATCACAAATTGTGGAGTTTTGTCATTGCTGTGATTGATTGCTAATTACTCACAGCACTTGAGTTATTTTGTTGCATAAGCATTAAATGACTTTGTTAGTGAGTTGATTAAGCACAGCTGATGAGTAATTTAACCTGTAGATTGTCAAGCTTGGGAAAGTGAAAACTAAGTATAAAAAATATATGAAAAGGCTCCCCTTATCAAGAGATGCCTTGGTGCCATTTATGTATTGAGAAATCAGACAGAATCCCCCAAGGCAGCATCTGCAACCTTGTGCAAAGCACATGTTTCAGATATACAGCTTTTATTGCTTCCATCAGTGGTCTGTTAGCCTGTGTCTTTCAATGTAGGCTTTGTGTTGATCAGCCCAGTTGATGACAATATTTGATCAACATAATGAATTTACCATTGTCATGTCTGTTCAATAAAATATTAGTGAATCCATTACAAAAAAACATATGAGCATTTTCCTGATAATAACTTCGTGAATTCATTGAATTTTTAAGTGAGACGTTTCTTTTGATGCTCAACATTGATAGCCAAACCCTGCTTCAATCTTATTAAGGCAGTGCTTGTCGTAACGTTACAGTACGTATCCATGAATGTCCTCTGGTATTACTTCAAGGCACAAAAAAGAGCTCATGACTGGATAAAAGAAGTAGAACCTTCCAAAGACGAACCTTCTGTGACGGAAGAAGAAGAAAGAAAAGATATTGGGACTGAAGAACAGGGAGAAGACGACCATCCGGAGGACAGCAGTGTAAAGTCAGTGGAGGTGAGGATATATTTCAAAGTAGAGATTCACCCAGAGCACGGTGAGTTGGCAGGTAAGATCAAATAAAAAGGTTGTGCAGTATAGTTTGCACCATCATGCTACATCTGTTACATTTTTAAAGATTAAAGCTATACAATAAAGTTCCTCCAGAATCACAGAAAGGAAGCATACTGTAAAAGCCATAGTAGTGTCAGCATATGATGAGACATCAGCAAGCCTCAAGTGATTTATGAGTTTGAGAACAAGCCGAATGGGATTGTGGATGAGGCTGCCAAAGAACCTAGTCTGGACACTGAAGATTTTAAAGGGGAACTGCAGTCCCAGTTTCTCAGACCGGTTATTAAATCTCAGTAACAAAATAAATTAATTGATGTTGTAGAATAATTTTACAAATTCCGAATTAAGCACAAAATCGTGAAGTATTGTACAGTAAGTCACCATGTTGTCACAAACTCTTATTTGAGTTCCCACAAAACTGCAATGTGGTGCAGCCCTTCCTGCTCACTAGTCCCTGTGATTAATTTAATGCGATAATTCGAGCAAATAAGTACATGTATTTTGTGGTGTGAATTGCAGGTTTTGCAAGTTATTGTGTACATTTTCCTTTTGTTGTGGTTTGAAATGCCCTCATAAAAATAGCATTGTCAACCCCGTCACCTTGTCCCTGTGCTGCAGGATATCTACACGTCTTCAATTAAGAGCCTGGCAGAGGTAACAGCCCGCAGTATCGAGCAGCTCCACAAGGTTGCAGAACTGATTCTCCATGGACAAGAGGTGGAGAAGTCAGGCAGAGACCAGGCCCACATCCTGACCAAGTGAGAGCGGAGTCTGTCCGGCGTGACTGTAGTGTTACTTTTCATTTAGTTTGATCATCAGTGGTTTCCCAGGTCAACAGCCTTTTGCAACTCTAGCTTTGTGTATAAGGGTCTGGGGTTGTACACCTCTTCTGAAAAGGGGTGTTTGAAGGAAAACTTATTTATATAAGAAATAAAAGACACTCCTGGAAATATATAGGGTTTATCTGCTCAATTAACCACTCTTACTCTACAATCTTGTGCCTCAGCAGATGTTTCTTGTATGTAAGTGATTAATTATCTACAAACGTTGTTGTATTACCACTCTATGTTTTGTTTATGCAGTATATCTTAGTTTTTTGCTTGAAAGATTTTTTTACAATTTCTTGATTATAAGTTTTGTCAAAGTACTTTACTGTGGAGGGGACCCGCCTGATGCATCAATGTGTTCTACCCTCCTTGGTGATGTGCGGCAGCAGCCTCACAGACTACACAGCAGGACAGCTGGAGAAATTACGTCTCCAACTGAGTTGAAAGGATACAGTTAGGCAGGCAAGATTGAAGCCCAAAGAGAAATGTAGCCAGGATGTAAGGGGTAGCACCCCTGCTCATATAGACAGTGCCATGTGCTCTTTAATGACCTTTGTGTAGAGTCTTCCTTCAACAGATCGCGTTTCCTACCTCACCGTGTCCCCAGTCATTGGGGTGGGTTTGAAATTCTGCTCACGAAGAAAGAGTGCCCCCTAATGGCCAACCAACATTGTTCATGTCAGCAGCCTAGTGATGTACTGGGATACCTACCCAGAACCTTGATACTGTCCTTGCTTATATCATGAGATTTGGAAAGTTCCAGCTAGGAGATGCTTTTAACACCGCTGTTAAAAGACCTGCAGAAATCCTAAGAATCTGCAAGATTTTTAACAGCTGTGTTATCACTTAGTCATCCCTGTTTGTTGAATCCATTGTGAACCAAAAAAGTGTATTTTGGGGTATACAGCAAGTATAACAATGAAATGGAATGTAATATACAAATATAATATATAGTGTATATGATCTGCAATTGATTAACTTTCCATGAAGGGAATATCAGGTTTGTAATTATGGTTATACAGTTAGTACAAAAGTTTGGGCACCTCTGGTTAAGTTGTATGCTTCAGTGAATCTCTAAGTGAAGAAGTTGACACAACTTCTACATGGTACCCTAAAAGGAAGTCCACTGATCATAAAAACCAGTGCAGAATGTCTAAGATGTTTGCATTGGAGGTGCACATTTAGATAATTGTTTTGTGTCTTTGTCAGGCTGACGAGTGCCATGTGCAGGGAGGTACGCTGTCTGTCTAAGAAGTTCACAGACACGCTGGTGGCCGCAGGGGTAAGAACTGGACTAAATCATCTCTGTTTTACCCAGAGATGATCTGACAGGCAGGTCTGTTGAGTAAACAGTGAGCACATCTGCAGATATCCTCACTCCCGTATTTCAAGACTGACTGACTGTGAACATGGATATCGGTCAGACGTCTCCTATGTGCTGTGATCAAGGTCAAGCAGCCTCAAGCCGAATCTCAAGTCTAGATCTTCAGACACATTCAGGGAATTCAACCATAGCTTGTATACGGTCTGGTTAAACACACTGGAATTTTAAAGACCTCTATTATTGAATCCACTTGTCAATATATAATTTATCCAGGATTTAGGAGGAATACCAGTGGTGCGTTTCTGTAAAGCATACAGTATGTAAGTTTAATCTTTTCCAGCAGAGTGAATAGAACCAGTATTGTATATATTGTAAGGTTTTTCAGTTTCAATTCACAATTACAAGTATCTTTTTTTTTTCCTTTACCGTCTATTATGCTACATTGGTTTAACATTTAGTAATAATTCTGGCTGTTTTGCCTAGGAGGATCTGTGGGTTTTTCTGTAATTTACAGTAGAGAATACAGTGAAGCACTAACAGATTGGATTAAAACAGGAGCTGTTAGCTTTGGGACAGGTATTAAACTACCACAGGAAAGACATCACACATTTCAGGGGTGTTTTATTAAGATAAATTACCTTGTATCCCCTTAGGTGTTAAACTTAAAAAATTGAAGCACTGAAGGTTTATTAGATTTCGATGGTTGAGCTATAATATTTCACCATTGAACATTGTTGTGTGAGTATTGGCCTCAAAGGGTTTTGAGGCCAATACACAAAAATGCTACAAGACAACAACATTTGATGGTGGTTTCTTTAAGATAAGGATATTATAACCTCCTGTTATGAGGGAAACAACTTTAACCTTCACCATTTCTTAAGATACTGACAGTAACAGTCTGATTCATAAAAGATTTTGTGTTCTGTTCCAGACTCTTTCTGTCAGTACTGGATATGGATACATGGATAACTGTATTTTTAATACTGTCACCCTTTGTTTTTTAATGACTGCAGAGCAAGAGGAAGGCTGAAGAGCTGAACCCCATGGTGAACAGTGTTTTGTTAGAGGTAAGTCAGCCAGACATGTAGTGGACTCAGTCTCTTTGATGGATTGTGCTCTTAAAATAATGAGCAGCCCTCTGACTTCTGACTGGTAGATTATTCCAACAAGGTAACATTTTAATTGAATTTTCTCAAGAGTTTCCCAGTTACACTAGTAGCACGGTGACGTTTTATACCTCTGTTATCATTGTCAGTAGGAGTAGCATCTTTCTAACCACTGCTAGATGAATGATAATATAGCACTTAATACATTTTGGACAACCCCTGTATAAAAGCTTTATATGGCCAGGTACATCAGTAATAATTAACACATAACCTTCATGCTCCACTAGTATGGCATATACAGTACTATTATTAGTATGGCAGTGTCACTCAGCAAGATGTTTTTCAATAATAATGGAGTAAGACATGCATAAGAGTATCTCCTATTCCAAAGTGGAGCAGAAGTTGCCTCAAGTGATTTTCCTGCTATAAATGACCAGTGTTCTTAACTGAACAAATTGAAATTACTTTCCAGACTGAACAATAAGTATAGTGTTTCTAATCTTTTTTTAAAAGGCTTATCCTGGACAACGTTGGAGACCCCTGTACTAAGTGTTCATTTATTAAAAAATTAGATGCAATTCGTGTAAAAAATGAATTCAAAGCTAAAAATAAACCTATGTGTGAAGTTCCATTAATAATTCAATTTTTGTCATCAAATACAAATGATATTCCAGGCATTGTGTGGGTGTACATTCTCAATATCCCTGACAGAATTTTATTTTGTTTTTCAATGAAAACTTTTTTGAAGACAAAAACAAGCATTTCAAAATGTATGTCAGGGAAGCTTTTCCTCATTGCTACATTAAATTCATTATATTAAATGAATTGCATGTTTATCACATGAAAGTTCTCAGTCAAAGTTATGTAAGTCTTTTCAGTGTTCCATATTTAGCACTTTGTAAACCTTTCTCAAAAATGTCCTGTTTGTTTTTTGCAGGGATCAAACAGCACCACCTACATTCAAAATGCGTTTCAGCTGCTTCTTCCAGTGTTGCAGGTCTCCCATATACAGATGACAAAAACCAAGCCAGACACAGACCTCTAGGTTTCCTGGACTTGTGCGAAAATATGCCTGTTCCACTACTTTTAACTCATGGGAGTTAAAACTGATATAAAGATTAAAGCATCTGAGCTGCTGCTTAGTTTTAAATAGAATTAACATGTAATTAACTTGTCATTGTAAACATGAAAAAGTACTGAAAAAATACCTGTGTCCTAAAATACACTAAGGTTTACGGCTTGAAAGTAATTAATTTAAGAATATTTGGAACACTCTGGCAGTGTGTTGTCAAAGTTGCTGTTTATTAACACCGTTTATGAGAAGATTGAAGACAAGCTGGCAGTTGGTAAATTAGTGCATTACTTGTTAATTGTTCCTAAGCAATTAATGAGTTTGATAAACAGTCTCGTGGAAAGCTTAAAGGGATGAAAACAAAGCATGATCTTGTAGGTTGAAAAATGTCTTTTCACCTGTGAAGAATTTTGTCACATATTCCAAAATAGAGAATCTATGTGTGTTGTATATGGTGAATACCAAAGAGAGATCTTACCTGACTGATACAGGAGTACCTGAGTTGAACAAAGGACAAGGTTGGCACTGTGTGCGTCTGCCAGTTTTGCCACAAAATTTCATTCAGTAGTTTTTAAACGGAGACTTTTACACTGTTCTTTAATCTGTCCAACACTCTTTTCAAGCGGAGTCCATCTTCACATCACCCTGTCCATCAGTCAAAGGCGGCATCGATTTTTTTCTAGCTTGTGGGGGTGAACTGTGTTAATATACATAGTTTATGAATGTGCTTTTCCATTGTCCTGGCTGCCTTGCTTTGAGGTGTGTCAAAACCTCGGCAAGCAGGTAGAAGAGGACGAGCTTAGTATAGAAAGCCAGAGTGGAACCCAGGAAACTCTCAACGTTTATGTCCGGGTCGTCTTTAACCTGTCTGTCCCATCCTGTTTTAGGCCATTATCCTCCATCTTCCGGTTCTGCGTTCCTGCCCATAGTGCAGGTACCCCTGTCACTCCTCTGGCCTCCACCTCGTGTACTGGTTCCAGTCCCTTCTCTTAACTAGCTAGTCCTCCAGTCTAGTGCCAAGCAGCCTCCCAGCCTGTGTTTCTGCATCATTTCTGTGCGCTGTAGTCATTAGGTTATCTGTGACAGGAGTGAATGACTGAGTTTGACATGTTTTACAATGTATTAACTAAGGGAAAGTAATGTAAAGGCTTATAATCATTTTGCTGCCTGTCCTTAAGTGCAGCAGCTAAATAGTTAAATGAAAGTTATGAAGCACTGTAAAATGCTAAATTCTACACCACAAGAACTACACGTTAAAATGTCTGAAGAAGTTTAGAAGTATTTTGAATATTTAGAGAGGATATTTAGAATAGTCAGTTTCACACTTTGCACACTGACAGCTCTGCGTGTGAAGGGGTGCCTCCTGTTCAGACCTGAATATATCTGTATTTATATTTATTTATGCCATGTGTTCACAATCTCTTTTGCTGAATTTTAAAAACGATATTTCTGAAACCCATTTGTTGAATTATATCTGCAGCAGCTCCTGGTCTTTAGGATTTGAACGCAGTTTTCATGTTCATAACAATGATGGGATCCTACTGTCGTCTTCACTACAGTGAACTTCACAGTAGCTAAACAATATAAAGTAGTGTTTTTGCCTTTGGAAGTGGAGCTAGATTTCACTTCAAGTGAATTATATATTGAGAATTTGTAGATGATGATCTCAAGCTTGCACAGGGAAAAGAAACTGAGTGGTCAGCGTCAATTTTCTGGTTCATGACAATTCAGACATCTTTATTGACTTAACCAGGAGGTTACTTAAACTTTTTTTTTTTATTTCCATTTCACTCATGTGATTAAGTTGTCTTGCTTTGCAGAATGTGTGGTTGAGCAAGAACAAAAGTCCTAACACTAAATCTTCCTAAAAGTCTCGTGGATCCAACAAATAAAAGTTCAGAACTGTGTCTTTTTTTAATCAAACATTCCACTGGGAACAGCCAGTGCTGAGACACTCTTGTGTTTTATTTTGTACTTATACCTTCCCGTTTTCAGAAAACTACCATTAAAACTAAAATTTGTTAAATTAATATAATACTTAAGGGTTTAAAAAACAAGTCTGTAACCTATTCAAATCCTAAGAAATAAGGTAATGCTTTTGTCACTATGGGGTGTTGCAATGTACAAAATAAATATTTTCTGTCTTAAATAAAATCTACTGCAAGTCTTTTTATTAAGTAGTTAACATATGCTTAAGCTGTTATTGGTGTAGCAGAGTGATTCTGCTTTACAAACATTACACATTGTGTATATAATACATTAATACAGTATATGTAAAAGCATCCATTGTGTTTCTGAATGTGGTAAAAAGTTCAGTGCCAGGAAATGAAAAGAGCAACTGTGGTCAATGTATAGTATGGGATCAATTGTCATGAGTTAAGCTCTTCTTTTAAACCTCTTGATTGTATGGTGTAGAATTCAAAGATCCAATTGGACAAGTATTTTACTATATTTGTTTTCATTCATGTATCTATGCAGTCTTGAGTTTTGCTGTTGTGTGCTTTCTGTAATCCTTCCACTGTACAGTACATGGCTCTTCTGATGTTAGGATAACCCAGAGTCGAGCACAAAGGCCTGGAAAATAAATAACACTTGACATCTTTTACCAGCAGCTGTCTCCCAACTTCAAATATCGTTGGAAATTTGGCCACACTGGATGATAATGTTTACTTATTTTTCCATACTTAATGGGGATATAATGGAAAAGTTGATTGGTGTTCAATGAATGGATAGAATTTTATAATTTCCAACACCAGGCCCTGTTTGTTTGCCACCATGTTTTTGTAAGATTAAAGCAATACTCGTTTGACCAAAAAAATCCCCCATTTTGTAACACAAATTTGCGAATATGATAAGCATTGTCTGTATTTTATAACGGCAGTGAGCTCGTTAATGGTGTTGTACTCGGATTTCCCCCAGACACGAAACACTCTGAAACCATCAGAATACGTGATTAGTCTGTGAATGTTTCCTCTCGGGACCCATATTTTAAAATGTATTCTCCAAAAACTAGTTGTTTTGTAGGAGAAGCACACTAAAGACAAAAACATGCAAGCGCTGGAACTGTTTAAAAAGTTTATTCTTAACCATAAATTATCTGACACAGGCTTTACATTTCAGCATATTAACAAATGAAAAAATAAACCTCTCATAAATAAGTATAAAAATACAGTCTAATAAAAATAAAAATATTCCATATATCTATGTTCCTGAAGTTCTGTTTTGACAGTTTCTTACACATTGGTCCTCTGGGGTGACTGCGGGTGCTGACCCGGAATGTCAGAACCAGTGCCAAGTGTAGTATCTTAGTATCTGCATAGCAGGAGTTACATTCAGTTGAGCTGTCATCTGTTCCTGTCCACCTAAACCACTTCGGGAGAAAAGAGAGGCTCACATTAGTATGTTAATGTCAATGAGGCCTTTAAGGCTCTTCCATGTACCTTAGGTCCTAGCTTAAGCAGCTCAGTAATTTCTCTGAACATCCATCATCTAGCTTTAAAGTTAAACAGCTAAACATCAACGTCCTCTGTAAATGCATTTATCTAAGTGCAGGTTCTTATTTGATGCTGTGTCTAAGTCGCAGTTCTCAGTCACCATGTACTGCACATTTATTGTTATTTTCCCAAATTAGAAAACCCACAAAGCTCTAAAGTAATGCACAGTCCAGATAAAACCACGTACAGTACAAATCACACTCAAAGAGTTAATAGTTTGACATTGGCTTAGCATCTGGGAATCAAGGACTGAAATTGTGTTTTACCTCTTTATATATAGTGTTCATTAGCATATGCATCCTCAGTTTCTGTAAGAAAATATCAAACATCATTCACTTGGGGCTGCATTGCCATCAGGCATTATTTCCATCCCACATATCAGTTGCTGTGGCTCAGGGTTGTGTAAGCTTGCCAGCTTGTCTTTTGTGAGCCAGTGCGAATTTTCACTATGAGCTATCTAAACTCATTGAGAACACCCTTAACCAAACTGTGCATGACCTGCCTTGTTCCATTGTGAACGTCTGGGTTGATACCAGTACGTTCTTTCACGGCAGAGAAACTACAGGACTGAAAATGCATTATTTTCTTCGAAATACCTCCATATTAAAATGTTCCCTCCAATAAAAACACTACAGCAAGCTATTACACTACTCTCTCTAATGGATTGTTTTTCATTTACTGTATTGTCTGACTTGCATATACTGTAAAATAAGAAGGCTTAAGCTCTCCCCGTTCTCTCAGTTTAACCGATGTGAAGAACCTTATTTTCATTTAAATAAACAAGTTTAAAATAAACCCCAGGATATGATTTTATGCTAATTATAGGCCTGAAGGATATCTTTGAATTCTGTCATGGTGATAACCTCATTACCTTGTCCTACATTCAGTTTCATTACGGAGCATCGATAGTAGTGCCATTAATAATATACTACATTTATATTGCACTTTCAAAAATACTAACCTCAAAGAGGTTTACGTAATAGAAAATTTATAATAGCTTGCAGTTATTTTTACAGATTTTTTAGTATTTGAATATCCAGTACAGATAAATTAAAAGAGCTGTCACTTTACTTCAAACAAAGATACCAAGTTCAACAGCTTTTGACAGAAAAATGTTTTACAAATGCAACAGAACTTTAAAGCTGCCAATGTTCATTTTGGAAACATTGACAAACCCTTAGTAAATACTGATTTCAAAAATGATTTGTTGCTCACAAGAGCTGCAGCATCCTCTAATTTGCATTTCTTCTAAGCGCTCAATAAAATTATAAATTTATTGTTGTACTTTAGTTGTCCTCAAACAGTTATCCCAAAGTACTTTACAAAATTGCATTTTAAATTGCGTTTTAAAGCCCATAAACACAAGTACACTGTGGGTGTTATACTTAGACTTTATATTTAACATCCAGCAATGCAAGATCAATAGAGTCTAATTAAATTGTTCAATTCATTTAGGCTCTATTTTTAGGCTTCTTGGGCCTCTAATTACTGCATTATCAAAATATGGAAAAACGTCAATGAGTTCTTTGAACACAAGTTTCTTACCTTCTAAAAAACCTTCATTCTGATAAATAGGTTGATCCTCTTCTACAAAAACAATGAATGCCAAGTTACTTTAAGATTTCAAGTTACGTTTTTGCAATCTTTTACATTAGATAAATGAAAATAGACGTTTGAAAAAATTCAATTGGATGCAATTACAAAGACCTAACTAAGGACATTTCTTGCTCATTTTAAATTCTACTCAGAAACTGAAAGTGAAGCTGGTACAGAAATTAGACAACCCTGGGATCGTAAGATTTAATTCAACCTGACTATACAGACTGTATGGCTATGACCTATCTTGTGTTTGCCTGTTCAGTCACTATGACATTCGCTTCAATGAATTATATTGATGACGTACAGCTGAGTTTGACCAAAACAACAAGCAGGTCATTACCTGATTCTTGTTCGGGAATTGGAGTTAACGGCCTATCAATTGCTGTAAGAAAAGTAAATTTTAACATTTAACAAAATGGATACATCAAAGACTTTGTTCAATGTCTTCCACTAATTTAATTCCTGTTTGTTTGTTTTACCACAGCTACAGAGTATGCGATTCAGCAGCACTGGAAGAACAGATACACTACAGTTCATGGCTTAACTACAATTTCAAAAAAAGGAAAAACAACCTAAGTTGTTGAGGTGCTGCCCAGGGAAATTCAAGATGAGCTGGACACACACCCATTCTATTTCTATGTCCCTCTTTTCTTATTAAAATCTCTAAATTGTGGCATAGAAAATGTCCTGAAAATGTTGACAGCATTTAATTAAAAAAATATATAACCTTTTTTTTAAGTATTTGGTTGCACAGTGCTCTGAGACAAGTGCATAAAGCTTACAGCCTGTTGAGCTCAGCTAACTGCTGGGGAAGTTATTTACTTGTCAAGATACACAAGATTCCTGACCTCTTTTTTAACATAAACAGCCAGAGGAGGTTAGCAATTTCAATTTACTTTGTACCAAGCGCTGGGCCCAACAGATTCCCCCAGCTTGGCACATTGTTTCAAGGAAATGGCAGCTGGAATTCAATGCAATTAATTTTCTGCAAAACTAAGTACACTTATGATGGGTGGACTGTATGTGATTCCTGCCTTTACCTGTACATTGTTGTTATTTTTAACCCATAGCTACAAATTAAATACAGGAATTTATTTAAAACATTCTACTACAACAAGGTAATCTGAAAATTCATGATTGAATATGGAACTGTTTAAAAATAGTATCTGATGATGGAAATAATTTATTTAATATCTGATTTGAAAAAGGGATAAGGAAAAAGACAAGGAAAAGGTGACTAGAGAGTAAAATGTGTAAAAAGACCTGGGTTTGGACAGGATAATAAACAGGTTGTTACCTGATCTTCGTGTTGGATTTGACAGATTGTGCTGATTTGCCTCCCCTGTGAAAAGCATGACATCAAACTAAAGTTTAAAAAAAATATTTAGATGAATTAAAAATGTTTAATTTTATCTTATTAATAATATCTTATTATTAGACATACAGGACCATCTAATATTAATTTTAGTCATCTTTTCATAGTGGAAGTAATTGGTTAAGGGTTATAATACCAATACTGTATGTTTTCTGTTCACTGAACTTAAATCATTACAGCTGCTTTCTTCCCTTAAATTCAAAAAGTCCATTTATTAAAACATTGGGCAGTGAGCCAATGCAACACTTCTTTATAAATACTGTTAAAATGTAAGGGTATTCATTTTATTTTTTCAGAGAATTTCTCATTTAGTAATTTATTACATTGAATTTAAAATTTTAAACAAACCAAGGGCACTCACAGAAAAACAAAGTTTAATATAATTAACAACATTAATATAATTTAAGATCATACCAGATTCTTTCTTACCTCTTAACATGTTGCTGAGAACATTTTGATATTCCCAATTCTGGTTTGATAATGGTGGTTTTCCTGGAGGGGAAAAAAAAAGAGCTCATTTGTACCATTTCAATAGCATAGAGAAAGGACTATTCTTCACAGTTTCTTTTACACAGTTTCATGGTATCAAAGAAGCATCCCAATTATTTCGAGACCAATGAAATCTTTCTGCTGTGTTCCTGGTTTCACTGCTGTGCTTATAATCCCTGTCAGCCGTGCACCAGAGTACAGCAGGTGACACAATTATGACTTTGAATGGGAAAATTGGGGATTAGCTACTGTTTTTCTTTAGTACTTTTGAAATGTCTACAAATACAATTAGAAGTTGTTCCATGCAACTGATATCTGCTTCCATAAGCAACAACTACAGCAGTGATATCTCACTTCTTCTTGTGTAATCCTCTACTACTAAACAAGACGTTGTCAAGACGTTTCTTATTCGGACCAAATGTACTAAAGCATTGTGATCTAGTGAAAGTTGGAACCATCTTGGCTCCACCAGGCCCAATGGGGGGGTGGGGAAGAGCCCTGGAATCACAGGGAAAGCGGCTGTTAGGATAGGATCTCTGTGGAATTAGCTGCACCCATTGGTAATTAGGAAGCTTATAACAGAGCAGCCTGAAGAGAGATATTCGGTTTTGGACTAGACTCCAGAGAAGGACATCAAACTGGCTGTTCTGCGTCAAGCATCCCAGTGTTCTGGAGGAGGAAACCTGACCAAACAGGATCTGTTGGGAAGGAGAAAGAGGTAGGGCTCTGTCTAGAGCTGGCTTGGGCTCACTTACAGTACGTGCCTGTTTGAGTCAGCGAGCTGTGAGCGAGTTTGAGAACATATAGTGAATACTGTTCTCTGTGAACAACTCCAGCAATGCCATGGTTATTTACCACAATTTTTGCAGCAGAGATTCGCTCTCATGTACAGTAATTTTCTCTTTTGTTTTTGCTTTGCAGTGGCTGTTAATGAGGTTTCAGGTCTGAAGTGCCTAAATACAGACTGGTAGGCTGAAAGTGCCTCCAGATCCCAGGAGGATAACTGTTTGTGCCTGATCACAGAGCAAATCTTCTTTACTCTGCAGGAGCACGAGATTCACGACACCCCTCCTCCCAATTCGCAACACAACAATTCAGCAAACAGATTCCAACAGGAATAATACTCACTCCTGCAGGTGCGTGTCTTCCAGTATATTTGACACAGTACAACGGTAAGCACCAGCAAGACAACTGTTAATATCAAGGTCAGCCAAAAGATTCGAACCTTACATGACCAATCTGTAAAGAAAGAGAAATTGTTCAAACATAGGGTTTAGTGTCCCAGACAAACACAATGACAAATGACAGAAAGAATAACTGTTAATACTGTTCAACACAATCTGTGCTATAAGGATATGTAGAATATTGAACAGCTAAAGTCACTGGCAAGAAGCAAACGTGCAAATAGCCCACACTTCTATACAGTATATCATGAAATAATAATGAACACTCATTCATTACTATTCATTTACAAATAACCTCATAGCCTATCCCTCTCAGTCAGTGAGCTCTTCACCTTGTGGTTTTCACAATGCAATTCATTAGAGTCTGGTGGCTGCTTCACAGCTCAATCAAGGGATATACTGTTTGCGCTTCAGGGTAAATTCATCTTCCCATTTCCCCCTAGAGGCCTCCTTGCTTTTTGAAACTATACTCTTGGGATCTGTGTGAGAAGTTTGCCCAGTGTGGATCCATTCTTCTTGTTGTTCATCTGGTCTGTTACCATTTCGGTTCCTTCACTTTTCCAGCAAAGTCACAAACTCCTATACGGTCTTAACCATTCATTCCCTTTTTTTGTCCTATATTTGTATTCCCAGCATTTGCCTTCCATGTTTTGCTGTGCTCCTTTTATTTTCCAAAACATTCTTGTTCTGGAAACCAGGCTTCATCACTGCAAGTGAGCACAGGGAATGCACCCTGGACAAAGCTTTTCTTCTTGAGAAAAAAACTATTTTCTAGATCATTAAAAGTGTTCCAATCCATTTGATTCTAATTTTCAGTTCATATTGTTTTTTTTAAACACACTAATCACCCTTCAATTAGCAGTGTATATATCGGGGGAATTTAATAAGGAATCACACTACTAAAAACTGACATTTCTCACATTATAAGTGAAATAAATTGTGAATTTCTATGATTTGATCTCTTCTGTTATCTCTGTCAACCCAAGAGAATATTTCTTTCTGATCCGGCTTCCGATGAGTCTCTTTATCAGAGGCACAAAAGACAAATCATTTTTAATACAACTATCATATCTCGGCGCTTTTAGAAAAACTTTAATTACTATAAATTTAAAAAAAACGTATGAATCAAGAGGTGTAACAGGGAATTCATTTTTTAAGCTACTGTACAGCTGTGCTTGGTCATATGACCAGCCTGGGCAGTGGAAGAGAGCTCTAACTTTTTGGTCGGGTGCCATTCTCTAAGCAGGTAGTGTTCTTTTGTTTTGTGTTTCAAGAAAGAGAAAGATTTGGACACGTAATCCAAATCGTGGAAATAGGATTTGGAAAAAAATCCCCTTCATTCTCGAAATAAAGTTTTAAGCATGAAATGCTCTCATAACGAACAGCTTCTCTGTAGGCACCAGAGCTCTGATGGGACAAGTTCCTTGATCGTTAGAAAAGTACACAGACAGGTGTGGAGACCCACAGCACATACATTCCAAAGACAGCCATGCTTTGGTGTGCTTCAGTTTTCCAGAGCTCCATAGCAGGATCTTACTATCAAAGAGTGATCCCTTCAAATGTGAATCCTTTGATCCTTGGCAGTGACAAGCACTGCTGTTCCTTTCTATATACTTATTTACATCAACACAGGGAGTGGCTAAGCTCTGTGCTAACAATTTCTCACCTTGTGCCAAATCCCTGCCCTTCTTTTTGCCTTGCAAGCCCCTTTTGCCAGACAATAATGATCAACTTAACGAAACTGTCGTATTTCCTGTTCAAGTGCATCCTCTATTCGCTTTGAAAAGAGCCTGCTGGCTGCATTCCCCCACACCAGAATTCAGGTCACTTCTGCTCTGCGGCGGTATCGGTAAAGAGTTAAATGGAAAACAGTGAAACTGTCACAGTGAGGAAAGCTGCTACCATCCCTGAGGACGGAGCAGCTCTCAGAGTCTCTATAATTGACAGTCGCTCCGTTTCACCCAAGGTTTCTCGGCCACATTACCAGCAGTAAAACACAAGCAATTTATTTTTATATTTTTTAAGCAATTTAATAGAGTTGGTTTATAGCAATCAATTTTGTACCTGGCTGTAAACACACTCCAATAAAATAAAGCCTAAAGGGTAATGCGTACAAAGTCCACCGGTACATGAAATTGCTCTCTTAACAGCAGTTATAAAATTACACAAGTCCGGTGAGCAGCACGCACATTCCAGCCTCAGAGCAATACATGTTTGTGAGGTCAGCTCTGTGGCACGTGGTGCCCTGATTATCGGTAGGCATTAGTGTTTAAACAAAAGCTCCCCTTCTTGAATCAATCACATAAAAAACGTTGATATACTTGATGACTTTCCTCATAAAGTTTTAGTCAGTAAAACTATTCAATCTGTGTACTATAAGCCCTATCAGGGAGGAGCAGTCATGGTCCCTGACTTAATTGGATTGATTTAAGAGTTTTTTTTTCACATTTTTCAGGAGAAGAGACCTGCAGACACACACAGACCCTCAAGCACCACGCCTGGACACTCCTAGGCAGTGTAACTGTAACTGTTATTTTCAACTTAATATTGAACTCTTCAAGACAAAGAACAGCATTACCGTCATACATGGTGTTGACATGCACTGTAGCATTCATGTCTGTGATATTCTTCCCTTCCATGTAAGCAATACAGTAGGTGTGGTTTGAGGAAGGAGGTTGGGTCCTTTGACTGGACAGGTCTTCTGTCAGGAAATAAAAAGCACTTTGTCCCGTGTCCACTCCGTGGCACAAGCTGGTGTTTAAACACCTTGTCACTGTGACAGCCTGTGTCACAGACCCCGGTTCTGGATTCAACAAAGACCCCCTGGCAGGTGACCCTGGAAGCACAAATATCACTGTAGGTCAGAGAATATAGTCAGAAAATACAAACTGGTTCCAAAGAGGAGTCTTTCCCTCACTGGCTTTGTAAATGTTCTAAACATTAAAGTTGGCTCTAATTTACACGACAAGCAAGTCATCTTTTCCCATTACTCTGCAATCATTAATTCTGTAGGAAACCCAACGAATAGGGTTTCTTTACATATTCTACAACAAAAATAGAAATATTAATACTATGACCATGAATAGTAAGAACAATACAAGAGAACACAATTGTTCAGTTTGTTCAAAAGATTAACATTCACAGTTGTAGTTCTGAGTAATTTTTACTGTAGTAAAAAGTTTTAAAAATTGTTCTGCTTTGTCTGTCCTAAAGCCTTCTGTTGGCATTGTATCTCTTTACCTGTTATGTTCTGAAGCTGTCTACAGTAAACTTATCAAAAGGATCTTTACCTGGATAAAAATGAAGATCTAGCTACTATACAAGTAGCTCCTTTTGTTGTGTTTCAGTGCATAAGAAACAGTGGATTCACAGTTAAACACAGTTACTTTAAACATCACCCTACCACTTCCTTCCTTTACTGAAGTAAGCTTCAAATTTCCCTCTTATAGGGTGGTTTGTTTTCTGAGCTACTGTATGGTATCACCCTGATAGTATGATGTTGCAGCTCACTGGGAAATAAAGTTACTTTGTTAACTGTTAACTGTGGTTACTGGCCATCCAATTGTCATATAAACATTTTTATTTCCCGATTCTTTTAACTAAAGCGCTTCACATTTATACCCAGTTATACACCTGTATATTTTACTGAAGCAATCGGAGTGAAGTAATTTGCTCAAGTGACCAGCCTGTGATTTGAACCCACAACCTTCTAGGCCAGAGTCCTAACCACTCTTCAGAAGAGTTATACCACACATGTAGTCAACATACCTGCAGTTTAATGATAACCTTTATTTTATACGGAGAGTGGAAAATAAAAATGAGTGCAGTAATGCCTTTAGCTCTTAATGTTTTAATGTCCAGGTACTATATTATAATGTATATTATTACAATGATTATTACAATGTACTGTATATTACATTCTATACATATAGTATTAGACATCAGAAATAATGAATTAATAGTGTTGCTGAAAAAAATAAATGTTACCTAATGCATGTGTTCAAACGTTTCTCCAGTATATGAGTTTATTTTTCAGAAAAATAACTTAGCAAGACAGAACAATGAATAAGGTAACTTTTAATTCAAATATGAGAAACAAGGGAAAGCATTGAAATCTTTAATAGGGTGTGCTGCGTACCTGATGCTGAGATGCTCTGATACATAGTGTGCAGGTCACTTTCTGTCTCGCATATAAACCATGCCGACTGAAGGTCATCTGGTGTCCCACTCTCTCTGCGCTCAAATGTCTCTCTCTCAGAGCTCATGTTTAGGAAGCTCGTGCAGACTTCTAGGATGGTTTCCTTCAAGTGAGTTTGGGAAATGTTGAGGAAAATTAACTGTTGCATCTCATCATCAGAGGATGGACACATTGCTGTGCATGTAAAAGATATCTTGACTCCTGTGAGAGAGTGAAACAAAAGTTGAAAGAGTTCCGTGTCATCCAGGGCTATATTTATCAGTGGGTCTTAGGGGTCTAGCCATGATTTATAAGCAGCACTATCTGCCTCTGTCACAGAGGATAGAACACTCACCTGGGCTAAGAAAAGGAATCTTGCCTTCATAGTTAATAGACTGGGGGAAAATAACTGAGTTTCTCTGAGTCCAGTAACAAAGCTCAATTTATTTTCATGGTTGAAAACTTCCTCAAAAGTCATTTAAAAAAATGATGTATTAATCACTGTTTTGTTAAAGTTTCCACTTTATCTAGTTTCTAGTTTCAGCAAGTTTAATAGCTTCCTCACATAAACAAAAATGTGAAAGAGGTCATGAAACATGGTGTTCTATTGTTTAAGAGTAGGGATTTTGGGGGGTTTCTGTCCAAAATAGTTCAACTGACACACCTCCACCTTCTTTGTGTGGTTAATGTCACGATCGCAAGTCCCTCCTCTTAAGGGCACTCCAGCCCTTTCTTGTTTGTACTGATTTTCCTGCACCTGATCCTGTTCCAGCCCTTCCCTTTAAAAGCCAGACGCTCCCACCATTCCAGGCTCGGCTTTGGAAGATGGACACCCGTCTACCCACAAGTCCAGGAGAGGCTCGACGGCATAGGCTTCGCAACGGCGTCCTGACCATCTGGGTCCGGGGCTGGGAGCGCCTGGCCCCTAAACCCCTTTTTATTCCCCCGACGAAAACAGATCCCCCTCCGGCTTTTAACTTTGTTATGTCTTTGTCATGGAAGGATCACCTGGCTCCGGACATTTGCATTCCCCCGATTTTCCTATGGACTCCCTTCGGACTTGTTTGCCTTGGACCACGCCCCCCCGAGCACCAGCGCACTGTTGACACGCCTCCCAGTTTTTTTTTTCCCCTGTGTTTGTTGAACTCCCTTCCGGATTTTATCGTCTGCATAGGGTCCTGAAAAACGTTTCGTGACACTGCACAGAAAATAAAAAACTGGTCTTCTGTCAGCCATGGGAGGGTGTCGGGTAATGTATTATTAGCCAATACCTACTGTGACTTTGTCATAACTTTGACTGCAGTGAATTGCATAGTATTTAGTTTTTCCTATTTTGTAACAGTAAAGGTGTAATGCAGCAAATAATAAATAGTTCTAAATACATTTAAAAAACAAACATTTCTTCAGTTATGTTAAAACATTAAACATTTCTTCTGTTAAATTTCTACGGTTTCCCTTGGTAAGCCCCAATCATGTGTGTGTGTGTTGCACATAGTTGGTACCTATGTGTGTGGCATGGGTTGAAATCCTACACTGCTCTATTTGGGTTTCCGTCCTGTTGAGTGGCATCAGTCAGGTTTTCAGCCCCAGCAAGGCGTTTGTGAGTGTGGCAGGGTATCCCACAATCTCACAATGGCCTGCAATAACCATAGAACTACCACTAGAGGACACAGTTAAAACAGCCTTCAGATTTGAAAAAGATATGTCAGAGAGATCAAAAGGGAGACTGGGCAGAAGATTTTTTTGTTGATGCTTTGGAAAGTTTATTTTGAGAAACCTTTTTTTTCTGTTGTGTTTATTAAGCAAGGCATGAGTATAGCTTGGACCTTTTCTCTACATCTATGTTGAAGTGGGTTTTTCTCATGTTAAGGTCAACAAGATCTTATCCATCAGATCCCTGATTGATCCTGAGATCTTTTTTTTACATATCTCGGATAGAGGGCATTGACAAACCTATCCATTACATTTCTGAAGATCAATGAGAAAAATAATGTTTCTAGTTTGTAGTTGCTGTTAAATTGATAAATAACAGAAGATTTAAAACAACAAGGGGTGTGAAAAAATGGTATGCCAATAAAGGAATTGGGGTCATACTACTAATTGAAATTAATCTGAAACAAGAAATACACAAAGAGGTTACTACATTCCTCTTTGACATACTGAGAAATGCTTTTAAATGATAAAAGTATAACTACACATTTCATGCAAACGTCATGACAGATGCCAGATATGACATCAAAATGTAAAAGGTGTAAAAACTTCTGGTTAATCAGTTATAAAAAAACATGCTTGGAGGCTGAGCTCATAACTTCTCCACTGATCACAAACTACCGAATTAGTCAAAACTGACATGAGAAAGGTGGAAGGGAGCAGAAAATGGAACATTCAGATGCTTGGTCTGAGATCATAACACGATATAATGCCGCAGTTCCTAAAAAAGTTGTGAAAAAAGTTGTGGAAAAGATTGATAAAAATGAAGTCAAGGGAGGGTCAAACAACCCATTTTAAAGTGTCTCACGCAAAGTTCAACAAAAGTGTCTGAATCAGGGACTTGATCCCACAACCAAGCAGATATTAGCCCAGTTCATGAGAGTTATACTTCAGTGTTATAGTGTATGGAATATTTCTGCTGCCTTTTTGAATTAAGAATATTGATCTCTTGATGTTGCATCCTGTCATGAAATAGAATACATTTAATTATTAACAAAATACTTTCCCCACATGCTTGCATGGCATTAGAAATGATGTTGAGCTATTCCATTCTTGCTGCTGGCTGTTCTGTTCTGAGAGGAAGCCACAAAAATGCCCAAGCTCTTTCAAAGGAGATTTTTTTTTATTATTTAATGAACATGTGATCATTCAAACCATTAACTTTACAATTTCATTGAAAGGACCTTGAGGACACTATTGAACATGATTTTCCAGATCGCATGTAATGCCATTGACTTTTATACCTCCTGATGGATGTTAGCAATCTCAATTTCATGTATTTTGCTCTTCATCAAGTTTATATAGTTTAACCCTGTGGCATAATCAGTTCACTGTAATCAATGGGTAACTGTGACTTCATCAAAAGCATCTGGTAGTTTTATTTAGACCACAATATTGTGAACAAAGGGGGCATCTTTAATCACTTGATTTTCATTGCAATGCAATTGCAATTTTTAGTGCACACTTGGAGGCTTTCTTGAAAGCTGAGATTCATTGCAATTGAGACCTTATTAAGGTAAGGTTTCACTGCATGATGCCACACAACCACATTTGCAAAGGCAGCAGCGTCTTGAAAGGAAATGACTACAGCTTCATAACAGATGTAAACAGCAAGATTATTTACATCCATGCCAGTGACTCTGAAGCTTTGGAGATCACCTTAAATAAGCAAAATGACCAAGCCCGGAATTTTATGTTTGTGCAAATAGATGCACCACCAGTTTTAAAAGCGCAAGGTGAATCCCTCACTCTGCAGTTATTACCTACGACAAACTAATTTCACCTACATTATTCACATTAGAAACACGAAGCAAGGAACTCCACAGTTCTGGATTAACAACCAGGGACAAGAGGCACTTGAAGCTAAAAACTTGGCTCCTTTCATGAAATGGCAGGGAGAGCCAGTTTCTGCTGACCCTGGAAACGTGTCCCGGGTCAGCAACAGTCCAACAGAAAAACAACAACAGATAACATAAGAACAGGAACACATGAGGGAAGAACATTTGGCCCACCTAGACCATCCAATGGCCACTAGTAAATCCAAGGATCTCATCAAATCTCTTGGTAAAGCCTGGCCTACCAAAATTTCTCCCTTAATTCAATTAGTGAAGCAGTTTCAGATTTTACCATCTGATATGTTGTGTAGTGGAGATGTTGGTGCTATACTTCAGTGGTGGATGAAGTAGGTCGCTTCCTGTATGTAAAGTGCTTTGGGATCCTTCAAGATGAAAAGCATTATACAATTGCAACAGATTATCAGTTGTTTTTGTAATAGAAGGCACATGGTGCTGAACTGAAGAGCTTGTCTTTTTCAGCCTCGGGCCAAACATATAAAGACATCTTGTACACTCTGAGTAGTTCTTCTCGAAGAACTCAGGTTAATATTACAGAGTGAGAAAGAGTGTGATCGTGCAATGCATTCTTGATTATGATTTGTCAGCAAAATAGAGATATCAAGCTAAAGTCATTATTTTCCCATCAGGAGCCTCTTCACTCTCAGCTATCATGCTGTTGCAGAAACCCTTGTTAAGCTTTTATCAATCTCTGAACTGCTCAGGTAATCTCGCTTATGTCTGTTTGCAACAGTTGCAAGACAAAAAGGAAAAAGAAACTGCTCTTGACAGAAAGATACAGCTTTCGACACAAATGGCAGAATGAATTCTGAGATACTGTATGAACTGCAGCCCAAGTGGCTGAGACATCTACGACATGATCTAGCGTTACAGTATTTATGAGCATTAACAGTGAGCTCAAAATCTAAAATAGTGTTTTATTCAGTGATTACAAAGCAATAGTTCCTGCACTGTAATTACATCAGATATTGCCGTTCTGACACACTTCCTGAGCAGCAGCAGCCGGCTGACAAAGGTTAGCTGGCCGTCGTTGTCTCCTGCTGATGACATTGCTGAGCCGATTCAGGTCAGGAGAACAAGCTGGCCAAGGCAAGACCCTGATATTGTTTTCTAGAAGCTCTGTCCTTGTACTTCTAGCCCTGTTTCATTTTATCTTTAATCTGGAAAAATGAGACTTCCGAATTGGCTTGTAGGAAAGGCAAAACTGTTGGCTCGAAGACTTTGTCAGTACATCGCTCAAGAGTAAAGTTGTCCTCAATTTGCACCAGAAACATTGATGTGATAGAGGAGATGCCTTCCAGCATCACTGCACCTCCACCACTCTCTGTGCTACTTTGACTAACATAACTGGCAGCATGATGCTCACCACGATATCCCCATGTAATGTATTCCATCAGGGATGCCCAGAGCGAAACTGCATATATTAGTGAATTAAACACTCCAGCATCCCCTCTACCGCCTTGGCTCACAGAATCAGGTAATTTTATCTCTTATCTATCAGCTTTTCTCCTGAACCGCCTCTGAGTATGTACATAATCTTTGTGCTGATTTGGAGCTGCGGTCATTGTGCCGAGGTGCTGATTGTGTTTTTCTTCCTGGAATATCTAATGCTGTAGCCGCTGCAGTTTGAAAATTATTATACAGATGGAAGTCACAGTCCTGGGCTGGTGTGGTGGGCTTTCAGAATATGGCCTGTCCCTTACAGAGCTGGTTTCTGGTTTCTTTGAACTAGTCTGCTGACGGCTACAGCAGAACATCTCATTCTCCAGAGAGTTCCAGAGAAAACATTTGAACTGAAAAAGGGCGCCGAAAAAGTGCAAAAAAATCGTCCCAGCAGCAACCAGGTGAACTTTGATATTTAGGCAGGTCATGCCTTTTCTTGGAAAAATGATAACCATGTCATTTGAAATAGCTTTTTATACAGATTCCTAACAAAATTTGCCAATACATCAATAATAATAATAATAATTAATAATAATTGCTTACACTTATATAGCGCTTTTTCTGGACACTCAAAGCCCTTTACAGGTAATGGGGTCTCCCCTCCACCACCACCAATGTGCAGCATCCACCTGGATGATGCGACAGCAGCCATAGTGCGCCAGAACGCTCACCACACATCAGCTATTAGTGGGGAGGAGCAGAGAGTAATGAAGCCAATTCATAGATGGGGATTATTAGGAGGCCATGATTGGTTAAGGCCAATGGGAAATTTGGCCAGGACGCCGGGGTTACACCCCTACTCTTTTCGAGAAACTCCCTGGGATTTTTAATGACCACAGAGAGTCAGGACCTCGGTTTTACGTCTCATCCGAAGGATGAGATACCTAAAACAACCCACTTGGTGTTTTTATTATATCAAATGACTTGAAGTCTGCAGGTTCCTATCCCATAGAATAATTGAGCTCAGTCAACAGACCTACTGTGACAGATCCCCACTGTACAGTAGGTACCATGACCTTCTGCCTTTGGCCTTTAGAAGAAATGACTCAGCCAGATCACAGCATAATTACAGCCTAAGGAAGTAACACACAGTGACAAGATGATAAAAACACAAGTGCAGTGGCAGCAAAGTAAATATTGTAAAACACAAAGGAAAAACAGTCACCCCTTAGCTTTTAAAGACAAGATGTGTAGGACCCAGGATCAGGTACTTATTTTGGTGTTGTAATTGCTTTAAGTAACATTGCTTCTGTAATGTCACTATTCTAGAAACTTCTTTGAAGTAGCTTCTCAGTATTTTCAAATCCATGAATCTTACTATTATTTTATCCTTATCATTGGTAGTTTAGCAAAAATAGAATAATAACCTTTATTTTGCAGAGAGTCGTTCATGTCACATATTTCAGTGCTACGGCTGTACTGGAGCTGGTTTAAATTCTTAGCCTGGGCCCTTGAGTAATAACTTTCTCCGCAATTGTTGTCTTGGAAAGATCTTTGATGTGTAGATTTTCTTCATTTTAACAGACATAGCCTACTTATATAACAGACATAGCCTAAATGTAATCAACTCCGGGTATAGGCATTTAGCTCTTCTGCTGGCATGCTAGTAATTTTGGCAACTTGGTCAAGAAATAATACTGAAAATCAAGTGTACCTAATGGGTAAAAATGTCTAGGGGGAGGTGGGGTTACCATTTATCTTTAAGATAATTAACAATGCTTTCTTGTTTATGAATCCCTAAATAACCTAATCCAGTCAGAATTAAAACTGAGCTCTCGAAAATGAAAATGTCTGATAGCCACAGGCTGCTACAGACCAGTTTGCTCCTCTTATTTATTAAAGAGGTTGCTCCTTACTTGAGCTCTTATGTTATATTACAGGGAGATTTAATGGGGATATGTTAAAACCTACTGACATCTTTAAAAGCCAATTTGAATTTCTTTAAACCTCTTTCAGATTATAATTTGGCCTCTTGAAATTGATTCTAAATCACCAAATAAATCAACTTTGACATCACACTCACAAACTCCCCTATCAAGAACCAGTCAGCTGTATTATGTAAGAACTTCAGCTGTTTCATAGCATGTTAGCAACAGCATGAAAGAGAATCTTCATCCTCTGATTTGATCTCAAATACATTTTAATAATTTTAAATCTTAAACATTCAAGAATCTGGTATGATAGTGCTTTTATTTTCAAACCCACTATTAATAAATTCCAAGCTACAGTAAATTCAAGTTTAAAACTGGTTTCCTTCACCACAAGAGGTTGTACTCCCAGGCATGGACCGTGGTGATGTTTAAAAAAAGACATCTAAGAGCCGTTCTTCGGAAACATGATGCCCTTATTCTATTCACCCATCGGATTTATCGCACGTGTAAGTTCATTTACAAATATTTCATTAGAGATGCACTTCCCCGTCTTCATAATTTATGGCCATTCTCCATGCCATCTTACACTTTAAGGTAGTACTTCATCAGATTGAATCCCCCGCAAGAGCAGCTACAAAGTTTGCCAAGAGGTATTCCAATTTGCCACCATCAATGACTGTAACAATCTGTAAAGTGAGCAGAAAATGTCTGCCTTTGAATTTGAAACACCTTCATGTTTTTCAATTTCCTTATTAGATTCCTTCTGCCTGACACCTGCACCTATTGACATTTCCACTTCGTATTATTTTACAATACAGATTGTTCTTTTCTGTCTTTTTCTGCTTTGTCTTCTGTACTGGTAAGAAGCTCTTGTCCAGACTGCTATTGAAAATGAGAATTTGTTTTCAACTTACCGGTCTTGTAATATAATGAATTATTACTAATGCCTCTAAAAATAGCTCGTTATTATTTGTATTGAAGTTGTAATACAGGATGGCAATATGAAATTGAATTTTCCCTTAAAAAATGAAAGTTTTTCTCATCTAAGATCTAAGATTCATAGATCATAATCATAGATCTAAGAAACATGATCTGCTTCTGAGATAAAAAGGCTTTACCTGGCTTTACTTTCATTAACAATTGAACAATTGAACACACAGCAGGGAAAGCAGTATACTGTAAAAGATCCTGTTTTTTTATTCAAACACCCTGAAAGTCTTCTAAGATTACATACACAGTGACCTGTGATACTCACCTTCAGGTGCGGTGAAAAACTCTGGGAGACACATGACAAGAACTACCAAAATTAATATGAGGAGCTTGGCGAGAGCTGCCTTTGTCATTCTAATGACACATGGACAGGCACACGGGCATGGCTTCTTCTGCTGGCTGCTTCCTGCTTCTCAGGGGCTTTTGTGTGATCCTGAGTTGCGCAAAGCTCCTTTTCTCTGTTCCACTTGGAGGAAAAAGCTATGAGTTTTGTAAGTGGCTCGTTGTGTTGCTTCAGCCGCTGGTAGACGGCTATAAGACAGTTATTTTTTGTTCACAGACGCAAACCACCGTTCCCGTCCACTTCCTGTGTAACTTCCTTGTGTCATGACTTAATGTGCATCAGAGCCTTCACCAAGCTGAGTTGGGCTAATTACAAATCATTAGCAGCTCTCCATTGTGAAACGTTCAGTTGTATCAGAAGGGATGTTTTCAGATGTCTGCTCAGTGAGACCACATAACAACATGAAGAGTTTTTATGAATGAACTATAAAGTGCCCCTGTGTGGTGGCCTGTCAGTACGACACCTTTTTTGTTTTGAGTATTGGATGGCACCGGTTACTACAGGAAACCAACCCAACCCTAGTGGTAACCCTCGCTCTTCGTGCTTTGGAAGAAAGCATTGTTCGTCCACTAGATCAATCCAGAAGAAGAGACCTACAATAACGGCAAATAACTACTATAAATCACTGGGTATAGGTATCTTTTGAAAAGATGAAGTCATTGTCCACATTACAGGATCTTACTACACAGGGTTAGTATTAGTTTCCAACCATATAAAAATCAAGGGGGAAAAGAAATGTTTGCCCCAAGAAAGTGACAAAAAAAGCAGTCTCAAGAAGATCACATACTAAAGATTTTAACATCTTCCTATAGCCTAATAGTGCTTGTCCTTGGTGATTATTCTTCTGTTGTTTTCTATAACCGTAAAACAGATTCAATACTCTGTGTGTGTACTGTATTTGTTAGAAGAAGATAGTCACCAGAGTGATGCAAATTATACCGCATGTACAGCAAAACTTACAGTATGTGAAATGAGTTTCATTAGATAGTGTTGTGGAAAGAAAAAACAGGTATCTGCTACACCACAGATGCTGAATCTGTTACTAGGGGACCACTGTGTCTACAGCTTCTCATTCCAGCTCCGTATTGAACTGACCAAGACATAAATCATTGGCCTAAGTGGACCGATTTAATCCTTATTATATTGTTGCTCATCTGAACAGGCTTATAAATCCCACTGAACTGTGGTCCTCTGGAATCGTGAATGGACCTCTTTGCATTACAATAAACTCAGTCATTTATTTTATCTGAAGTTAAACCCCTCTGTCATTTTAATTCTTCCACTGTCATGTTTCATCTTTCAAGTCAACCGACATCAACTGCTGAAATTTAATTGACAGAAATCTAGGTTACAGGTGCCATTAAATGTGCAGCTCTTCCAATCCACTATAATACACTACCAGGAAATACACTTTTATTGGTTGTACCGTTATCATTATCAGTTAAACAATGAAGGAGTCAGTGGAAGTAAACAGCAGCAATATGCCTGATTGGAAGGTCAGCTAAAGTAATTTTTATCATATATAACATCCTTCAAGACAAGTGGCTCTGAAGCAGGGTGGTGCAGTCCTGATCCTGGAACTTTAGTGTGCCTTCAGGTTTTCTAAGTGTCTTTAAAACACCAGCACCTAAAGAGCAGGTAGAAGCTGTTTAAATTGGTACAGTTAAGCCAGTAATGAGCTGGATTAGCTAGAATGAAAACCTGCAGACATACTAGCTCAACAGAATGGCCCAGCCTGACCTAATGTATCATTAAAATGGATGAAGTCACTAATGATTGCCCACCTATGAAGTAACTGGTTCTAGATGAGGGCAAATCTTGTCCTGGTTCAGGGGTACCCAAATCCAGTCGGAGAAACTGTAGGATATTTTGGCTTCTGTTCCACCTGCGCTCGTAATTGCTGTTTTCATGTCATTACAGTATGCGCTTGACTGAATCCATCTAACCCCATTCCCATATCACGAGCTCATCAAGATTAAATGAAAGACATTTAAAACCTTCTCTGATTAAGGAGGTTTGATGCCGCAGACAAAAAATGGCGACAGAACAACTGCCGGAATAAGTCTCAAGACGTTTGTGTGATACAAAACTGGTGTGGCTCTTTGCCTCACTGCACTGGTTCAGCGCTGGGGAGTGTTTGGAGTTGCTTTCACTTTCTTTTTTAGCTTTGCATGGTTGATAACGACTGTTCTTATGCCGATTACCAAAACATTGTCTCATAACGCTGCACAATTAGAGCCTCAGCGAAAACGAGGTCCACAAAACTCTAGACATTAACAGAGAGAAAACATATCCATTACATTAACACATGAATCCCCCTCCACATATCTACCTGTTAGAACAGGCATCCAGGGAGGAACTCTGGCAGAGTAGTTAGCATTGCTGCCTCACAGCGCTGGTTCAATCCCACACCTGTGGGGTTATCTGCATGGAGTTAGTATGTACTCCCCGTGTTTATGCAGGTTTCTCCAGATGCTCTGGTTTCCCACAGTCCCAAAACATACTGGTGTGGTAACTGGCTTCTGGGAAAAAATTGGCCCCAGTGTGAGTGTGTGGATGTCTGTGTGTGCCAAGCGATGGACTAGTGTCGCGTCCAGGGTGTACCCCAACTTGCGTCTGTTGCTTGCTGGGATAGGTTTAGGCTCCCCCCGCGACCCTGAATTGGATCAAACGGTTAGAAAGTGGATGGATGGAGCAGGCGACCATATGAAATTGGACTGAAAGATAACACTTAAAAATGCCAGCAGTTTATCCTCCGCTGAGTGAGGCTTTAATTCAGGCATGGGCAGGAGCCAAGATGTAGAGGTTTGTAAGAGAGCGAGACAAAGGAGCAGCACAGCATCTGTCGCACGGAATCTGTAGACAGGCACCAGACCAACAGGAAGAGAAACTGGAAGAAAGGGCTGATGGTGTTTAACAAGTAAAAGGTTTAGAAACAAAGGGTTGCTCTTCTGCCACGGCATGCAGGCATCACCCACACAATTTGGGAACTTTATTTCTCACCTGCAGCAGAAAAACTAGGATCAATTTATATAGTAACATAAGGAAGACCGTACAAGTTAGGAGGCCCATTTAATCATACAGTTGCTAGAATCTCATCAAGTAGTTTTTTAAAAAAAAGCCAAGGTATCGGTTTTGACCAAATCTAGCTTGTAGCAGGCATCCGCATCCCTTGATACAGCAGTATGCGTAAGGATTCCTGTAATAAGGTAGTGTAATTATCACTACACTAATTACAAGCAAGCACATATCCTATTATGATTTCATGCAAATGCCCGAGTTGAAATAATAAGCACTTTGGGCTGAATACATAAACCTTTTACTACACTACAGACTTTTCCTAATGAGTAAGCCCTAGTAAAAAGTTTAAAAAAATGACAGAAATCCTAAAATTACAGAGCTGCTAAAGAAATGTGTCATTTTCATTTTGCAACAGTAGGAGTTTGTATTTCCTCTTTTAAAAGATAAACAGTGAGTAAAACTGATGAAAGATTATAAGTGAACGTTTTAAGGCTATGACCTTTCTCTGTCAAAGCTGAGTAACCCTTATGATTGAGAGGCAGCTGTGTGAAACTCTTTTGCTGCATCAGCTATATTGGGCAGGACTCTGAGTATTGCCCCTTTTCACTTTTCAGCGTTGTTGCTGCACACAGGTAAACGAGTGATGAAGAAATTAATGAACTACTTCATTCACCCCTACCACCAAAGCTAAGAGTGAGGAATCCTCTGATGAAACCAGATTGTTTTGAGTTCTCAGAGCACTCTCAGACCTAAGACTCAAGAAAACCTGGGAAAACTAGTTCTGTGTATACGGCCCATGATATGCAATTAAAATGTCCAGATTATTAATTATTATCCTCTTCACCCACAGCCTACTAAAATGAAGACACTAGAAAGGTGTAGCCTTTTTAAATATTATCTTACGTGGAAAATCACTAAATGTTTACCTTATTTTTCCTCTTAGTCATATTTGAATTTCTGCATTTTGAGACTGCACTGCTTGGTTATCTCATGGCTCAGATTTTTTGCTGTTGTTCTTCGTCTATCCTAAATAGAGATTACATAAACAGCACCTTTTTCGTCGATTCCTTAATACCAGGACGTCCGGTGGCTTCAGGCAGATTACAAAAGAGAGAAGTGTAATCTGGGTACGTAATGAAATTACTTCTTTCGCTCATAGCTCAGTAAATGAATTTTACTAATGGCAGCAATGGGATCTGCGATTGCATCTCCTGTGCCTCCCTTACTCAACATAACACAAGAACTCAGTAATTGTTTTTTGCATAATGCCAGTGGCTGTATGATACCTCGCTTAACGACTGTGCCTCTTCTGTAACAATATTACTAAATTCATACATGCAGCAAGAATTTGTACAGTACATCCGTGATCTTTTGAACAGGAGGGGAATTTGTTAAGTAGGTAAACAGAAGCTTTGAATGCCTGGTCAGTCTAGAGATGGGAGACAGCAGAGGAAAATCAGGTTGCTTCTAGAAGTAATGGACCAGTAGGTGGTACTCTTGCCTTCCAAGAATGGTGACAGGTACTGTCTTCTTGGTGGGGACATCAAGTCACCTTCCTGTAAACACTGTGGATAAGAAAGACCCCAAGGAGCTTTTCACAAATGTTAACTCATTTATCAGGGCCAAAAAGACAAATCTGGCCTGTCTTCAGGTCCCCCTATCTCTTGCAACAGTAAACCCCTAATTGGGCTTCAAACCTGTTTGTTGCCTTATCTACAGTCCCCAGATCCGACTTGAAAAAGAGGTTTCAGACTCAATGGAGAATGGAGAGTTACCAGATGAAAAAGCTCACACTTTCTTCAAGCACTAAATCTAAACATACACACTGCCCTACAAACATATGGGTACAGCAAAGACATAGCAATTTGTAATGAACTAAATCTAAAACACACCAGTCTGCAGAGAACCTAACTTTAATGCCCTACTCTATTTACACTGGGGAGGCTAAACTCAGGTTAACTGAGGACTCAAATACAGGTTTGAACTATTTAGAGTTCAGGGTTTTGACACAAACCCTTCTCTTCTTGCTGTCTAACTCTTTGTTGCCCTTACGCTACAGGGGAAATATCCAGTTTTGCCAATAGTTTGACTTACCATTATCTCTCCTCTGAAGTCCTGGAGTCAGGCAATCCAGGCTTTGAGACACATTATTTCTAAGTACATTTCAAAGGTAAAAACCAGTATTGGGTTGGATATCTATTTGAGGGAAGAAGTGCATCAAGTCTGTGACTCACTGGGCACACCAAACACTCTTCGAGTAATCATTTGAGGTGTTCTGCCAAGCCAAATTGA